GAAGTGGAAAAGTAGTGTTTGTTCATCTTCTTCACTGTGGAAGGATTGAAAGACCAGAGCCCTGGTGTGCAGTGGGGAAGAAAAGTGGTCCAGGTAAAGTTTGGCATATGGGAAAAAGGGAATGCACAAAGTTCATAAACATGCGGAGGGGTAGGAAAGCACTTTGGAAATTATATACACAGAGAAATATAAATATAACCCAAGCTCTAAAGTGGAGGTTGGTCATGCCAGCTGCAGCCTTCCCAAGATTTCCATTAGACTAACATGCTTCATGTTTGGGTAGAACTCCTGCACACCCCAGTGCTGCTTGAAGAATAAGCTTAAAAATCCTGAGCAAAAATTCCTGTGCTGCTTCTTGAAAGCACTGCAGAAAAGTAGAATAAAAGAGAATAAATATACACTTCTATTGTAAAAACACTTTGGTTATGCTCTTTAAAATGCTAATGCAAAAAGTAGAAAACCAGCTGACAGAAAAGATAAAATTGGAACTATGAATGGCCTCTGTGGGATCTCAGCTGTAACCAGAGAAGGCTTATATTTTCTTTTGAAATTGTTCATTCACTACTTGGAAATGTTTATTTAAAACCTTTTTCCTGCAAACATCTAAAGGTATTAATTTCACACTTGTGAATGGTTATTAAGCTCAATGGATGTGAGATCATGGTCTAAGTTCTGCTGAATTACTTCATGTTTAGTTTACTGAAGGTAGCATGTCTAGGGCTGTCTGGTTGCTCCTGAGACAATTTACAAGCCTCTCAGTCAAAGTATTTTTCAAAATAATTCATATACAGCTGCTTTCAGATCTAGGGGTGGCAGGCTGACTGTGTGTTTTGTCACAATTAAACAGACCTGGTTCATCATGGTTTAAAATCACTGCTCTAGTATATGGTTTCTGATGTAATAGTCCAAATAATTTATTTGTTATATGTAGCTTTCCTGCAAGGGCAGTGGGATCAGTGCCCCCTGAATAACCACCCAGCTTTCAATGGATCCTTCCCAGATTGCTGTCTGGAGCCCAGCTAGAAGGAGCTCAGATGTTTTCTGGAGGCAAGGTTTGCCACAGAGGAGTGCCATCAGTAGCAAAGAGGCTTCTTAAATTTAAATTGAATTAACTTTTACCCTGAATATTTGCTTCTGTTGCTAAACAAGTGACAAACGTTACCATTTCATCCAGAAAGGTAAATGCCTGCCAGGTGATCCCTGTACCTCCTGGGAACACCCAGTAATCCATGCCTTCCTGAGGGACAGTAGGAAGGGGAAGGTGGGAGTCTGTCAGTGGAACAGCTGGGTGAAAAGGTCAGTGCAAATTGGGTGTGCGCATAATAATGACTTTGTGGAGATTAGCGTTATGCTAATGACCCAAATTCCAGGGGGTGTTCCTAATGCATACAATGGGCATGCAGGTGTGCTGGGTTCATGAGCTCAGCAGTACAACAGGAAATGTGGACTCTAGAAGTAAATCCCCTCCCAGAGTGAAAGCTACTTTATATCAGATTCTACTTCTCAGAAAACAGGGAATACATTAAAAAGGAAAATTTAAAAAATTGGGCAGTGTGGAAGACACAAAATACCTCGAGTAAACTAAAAAGCGACTAGCCAAATCTTACATGTGTACATGTGCTTCTGCTTCACATATAATCACTGAAATTACTGAGTTTTCCTGCAGTAATAGAAGCTCCTTGGCTGTCATTTATTTCCTGTATGAATGTCCCGGGACAGATTATCCAGTTGAGTGCCTGTAACCTCGTTGCTGAACTGGAGCACTGGGTTGTTCTGTCAGCTCAACATCCTGAGTGCCCTCCCTCCCTCCTTTTCCAGGCAGGGTGGGGGCAGAGGGCAAAGAAATCCCTAAGGTTTAAAGCAGTGTCAGAGCATTAACACTTAGTCGATGACAACTCTAAGGATTAATTCAAGCTGGTTAAATCCCTCTTAGCGAGAATAGGAACCAGCAAACCATCTGGTGGAAAGAGCAGTATGACAGGGCTAAAAGGAAATACTGTCCGAGTAGGCAAAAAAAAAACCCCAACTTTTCCACAGTCTCTTGGGAATTGCTGTGTTTCCTAAGTGTCTGATCACAGCAAATGACAGTTTTAATTAGAGTGGTTTGAATGAAGAGGGTGAAGAACTACTGTGTTTGCAGCTCAGGAAAAAAACAGATTTAAACTTTTACATTTCTACAATACCACATGACACTTCCAAAAAAAAAAAAAGAAAAAAATACTAGTCATGTATTCTGTGAAAACAAATCTCAACCCATTCAATGTATTTTCCTGCTAAGGCTGGCTCTGTTGTCGGCCTCTGTTCTCTAGCTTCAATATTGAGTGCTCTTCACAGAGGCTTTACAGCTCCTCCTGTGAGAGAGCTGCTGTGGAGCTCCTGCGTGTGGAACCGCCAACGCCAACGAGGAGTAACCCAAGTGCCCAGCCAAGGTCAGTATCACAGCCCTGGGACTAGCAGAGCTGGCCTGGCCTACAAAGGCAAGCTGATCAGCCTGGGAAACTGCTCCGAGGTTACCCCTGCAGGAATTAAGAGCGTTTGTCTCTGAAGCAGATCAGACAATGTAAATTGGATTGGAGGTGAAGTCTCTCCTCCGTGATGTCACTCACTGATATTTATACTCAAAATAAGGTCTTGCTGCTGATAGGTTTAAAGCTTGGTTCAGTTCTTTTAGTCTCCTTATGAATAAAGGGATCTATGAAGCCTTGTAAGATTTTAATTACTGTTTTCTGAGGTGCTGCCATTGCCTGGTCCGTAGTGGCACCTGGCTGGCTGGGGTGATTGCTGGCAGCTGTGCCCAGAGCCTCACAGGCAGGGAACTTCCGAAGGCAGGCAGTAAATGCATTTTCCATTCACTTTGATCTGTTAGTTGTTCCCTTTTTAAATCTAGGAATTTTCTTTTGTTGTCAGTCATGAAATGTAAAAGTGTTATGTCGCTTTATGCTTCTGTTCCAAAACAGGGTTTACTAACTTCCTGATTACACACAGCTTGTTTGTCTACTGAAAGTTTTCTTCCTGCTACTCCCCAAATATTGCCAGGGAAAGGAATTTATAAATTCAGCATGTTGGCCTGTAATCTGATGTAGAAAATGGCTTTGCAAATATAAGCACTGATTTCTTTTATTTGACTTGCTGATAGAAAACCACCGAAGCATTGGTTCACACTCCTCTTTTGAAGGTGACTATTTTTTGCATGTAAATGTCAGAGTGAATGTGAACAGGGGAGCCCTAAGGCTTGCCTGCTGCTTGAAGTGAACCTTTTCTGTACAGGGAAGGAGGTAAAAAAAGGTCAACAAACGTTGAGCCTGTATTGATACAATAGCGAACCACCTCTTCTTTAGAAGCAGTAGTCCTGTTCTTCAGCCCAGCCTTGCTCTCAGAATGCTGCTGAGATTGAAAAATGTTTTCTCTCTCAGGAGCCTAAAATAAAGATAAATTGGGAATTTTTGGATCCAGATTTGAAATAAGAGGATCAAAGGACTCAAAATACCAACAAAGATGAAAAGAGTTTGTTCACCAGTGTCTGCTGATACTGAGGGCTGTGCTGAACCCTACAATATCAAGCAGGAAGCATCTGTGTGTGCTTATCAGCTTTTTACAACACAAAAATCACAGGTTTCTGGCATCTGCCCTATCAAAGATAAGGAGTAAGATATATTCACAACATCTGTGTGTCAGAATATTGGACATACTCCAAAACCTGGAGTGACTTGTTTGTGTCTTTCAGCTCAGTTTATGGGCAGTTTGTGTGATAGCATTAAAACTGTGTGAGAGGTTGAAGCCATCCATCCCCTCTGGTTTTGGTTGTGATGAGAATCCATCAGTCTTGTCACTTGTTCTTATAAACCAGCTGTGCCCTTAGAATGGAGAATAACTAACAGCACTGAGTCATGGCAGTGAACCTGCAGGAGTCCTGAAGGAAAGCATTATCCTCACATCTGAGTCATAAGAATGCATCTTCATGAAACATCTTGATAAACCATAAACTCTACAGCAAGATTCACAGTAAGGGTTTACCAATTACTACTAATTAATTCCTAGCTAATGGTGCCCCAAAAATAACAGCTCAAGGCAGAACAGCAAATACTGTTTAGTTTTTTGTTGGATAAAAGCCCATTAAATTATTTTGTTTTTAAAATTTCACTCTGATTTTAGCCAACATAGGAATGCACATGCTGACTGGGACCAAGTTGGCCACTGCTTTGACTCTGACAGTGGCCAGAAGGGGATGGATGCAAAGAAGAAAGTAAAATAGGGTGTGTATCTTACCTTTCCCTCTCCCTTTCTTCTCTCCGCCTAGTCCCATGTGATCTCCCAGCCATTTTCTTAGGCGGGGCTGATGGAATTTGTGTTTTAGAAATTCCTACTACAGCTCTTGCTAAGCATTTGTCCAGTTGCTCTGGGAGCTCGTATAAGCTTTTTGCTTATTAAAAATGGAAAAGGCAGCAAATGGAAAGGACAACAAAGGTGCAGAACAACATCCATGTAAGGTTTGATTGGACAGAGCTCCACAGCCAAAACACAAAGGGAGAGAGATTGTGTTCTGTTAACTTCCCTTTCTCTTCCAGCACAAAAACTTGTGCATGAGAGGGATAGTTATTTTTACTCACCTCTTCCAAGTTATTAAAGAATACATAACCTTCAAAAATATCCCCTGTAAGTCAAACCTTTCCTGTGCTGCAGGGTTTCCACTCAGTCCTCATATGGAAGTTGGTCCATACATTTCATCGTCTTTGCTCTCTTTTGACCCTTTTACACTTTGTATATTTTGTGTTTCACCAAAGCTTCCCAGAGTACTCAATGTGAAAGATCCATGGATGTATGTAATGGTATCATCTTCTTGCCTGTTTCATGCTGCATTGTTTTTGTAACAACTCCTGAGTCTTTACTTTTTGACAGCTGCCAACTATTGTGATGGCCAACAGCTGACCTGAAGGCCTCACAGTTATAATTATAAATCCCCATTTTATAACTGATAGGTAACTAATTATAGAAGTACCTTGACCGGTAGGTTATGTAACTTGACCGGTGTGGATGACTGAAGAGCAGGCCCAGGTTGCTGGGGACACGGCTGCTATTGGCTGGTTGGCAGGGGGGCAACCAGTTCAGAAAATGGGGCTTAACCACGCGGACCTTCACAGCTATATATGGAAAAGAGCACTCCATAAAAGCTGGCTACATGAGCTTTGGTGTGTTTATGTTACGTCCCTGTCTACAACATCAAAGTGACAGCCAATGACGGAGTGGATGATTTCATGTAAGTCTTCATTTAAGCCCGGTTCTTGCTGTGCCCGTTTTCCTGAAGCTGTTCAGAATGTTGATTTAATAATTCCCAAACTAATGAACACTATTTTCATTACAATTACTTACAAGATCATACTTATATATGCATACTGAATTTAATTAGCTTTAATCATTTGAGTGATTTCAATCTGCATCTTTAGGCATCTGAATATCTTTTCTGCATTTGGCCTGAAATGAGAGTTAAATGTCTTGTTGCGGCAGTTTGGGGTCAGTACAATCATAGTTGTGTAACAAAATATGTGAAACAGAGCCATGCCATCTGCACTTTCATGTGCTTTCTAATGGATAATCAATGAGGTACCTTCAAGTACTGAAAATATCTTCACACACTTACAAGTAATCATTGAAATCTGCAGCTGAAAAGCAATATTAGCACTTCTTTTTTGGTCATTCTGTCACTATAGAATTGACAAATTCCTTTACTTTAGCCTCACTAACCCAAGGTCTGGGTCTTTTTTTCCCATAGAAAAATCTTTCTTAGTGGTCTCAGGGAAGGAGCTTTTGCCTTTGGCAAGGCCTTCAGTCAAGGGAGTTTTTCAGTTTTCAGTGTTTGAAATGTGCCTAGCAAGAATGAGATGGAGGTCAACTGATGCCAGCAGTCCCCAGCTGAGTGATGGGAGTTATCAGGGATATGGAAAATAAGGTGTCTGAGACATCAGGGGATTGTTAAGGGTGGAAAAGACCTTTAAGATCACCAAGTCCAACCATCAGCCAAGCACCCCCACCTCAGGTGCCATATGCAGGCATGCATGAACACCTCCAGGGATGGGGACTCCACCACTGCCCTGGGCAGCCTGTGCCCATGTTTTACAACTCTTTCTGTGAAGAAAAGCATGAGAATTCTGTTGCTTAAGGAAAAGGAGACTAAAGAAGAATCTAAGTTTTCAAGGACAAAAAACCTGTGGTAAGGGAAAAGATACTACTTTGTTTTCTGTCTGTGGAATCTATAGTGCATTTAATGATAAAATGAGTTTGCAGCAGATTTTCTGGGCAACTGCCATGTCTTCACCACAGAGGTCTGGAAAGAAAGGTCTGTTGTTCCTGTTATGAGGCCAGGCAGCAGCTGGAGAGTCAAAAGTGCAGTAAGAACCTCAGCACACCTGGAATACCCATGTCTCCCAGAAATGGAACTAACACCCTGTTGATCCTTGCAGTGGCAATGGTGGCTCCAGGACTACTGCTGCTGCTCCAGGAGAAGCTCTCACTGTCAGAGTTGTGATATGCTCTCCCTAGCAAAAAAGAAGCAAGTTTAAAATGTATTTGATATTGTGGCACCTGTCTGCAGGCTTTCAACAGCAAATGCTGGGTGAAGCTCATCCAATTTTGAGTATGAGTGTTCTTTTTTTAATTCTTTCCTAGCCTACTGTAGCTGGCAAAAGTCATCAAAATAATAGGTTACAAAGATATTTTGTAGAGAAAAGAACCAATTACATATCTGGACTTACTGTGTAGAAAGAACATCACTTTTTTTCCCCACTTTATTCTTTGAATTATAATTTCTTTATTTCAAAAATATCTAATTCCATGAACTTTTATTCTAGATGCAATTTATGGATTGTTCTACAAATCTTGTGGTAGTTTGTTCTTTACCAGCTTGATATTGTTAAACCCAGTAGGAAAATCTCTTGAGGAGCTGGAAAAAAATTTAGGGCAAGCCAGCTTGAATTAATTTCACTGTCTGGAGCATTCTTAAGGATGTAAATAATCTAATGCTTAGAATATCTTTGAAATCTTCACAGTTTGTCAGCCTCTGTTAGAATACTTTCACAGACAACTTCTCAAGAATTTAATAAGGATGAAACAATTGAACTTCTGTGAGAATCAAGGCGTTTAACAGAAAGTGATTTGCTTTTAAATGGGGTCTTAATGAACCCCTCTAATGCTATGGCAGAGACACACAGTAGAAAATGTGTGGAGCAAGGTCTCACTTCCTGTTTGGCTGTAACAATGCACAAGTTCATGCACAGCTTAATTTGGTGTCTTGCTGCACTGGATGTAAAAATATAAATCTTACTACAACCCTTCTGAAATGTATACTGAAAAAAAGGAAAAATCTGTAAGAATCTCTGGAAGTTCCACAGAGTTCTTCCTGGCATCCTTCTGAGGTTTGTGCAGCTGGGGCAGCCAGGAAGACATTTCCCAATGTGTAAGTGGATGCATAGTGACCACAGTACTTGTGAGGATCCCCCTCTTTTTTTATATCCTTATTTTGCCCTTTAGTTTCCATAGTTGCTTTTATTTGGGAAAGCTGTGTCTTCCAGAGCTAGATGATCACAGATAACCAATACTGGATTCCCTTCTCCTGTCACAGTTCTGCTTTTTGAGATTTTACCTTTCTTTCTGTATATGAATTGGCACCTGAGATGTGCCAATAATTATATGGTTTTGTTTCCTGATAATAGGACCTAAGACTAGAAAAATGGTGAGTTTTCCTACTCCTGCTGGCCTAAACTTGTCTGAATTTGTCAGCTGAGGGCACATTTAAAATAGTTGGTTTTGTTTGCAGAGGGTGGGACAGACCTGTGCCTTGTCTGTGGTGCTTCACTTCAGGAAAGCTTTGGTTCTACGGCTGGATTTGTTTTCTACACTTGTAATATATAATGGACAATACTCCTACTGCTTACATGATGATGGTATTTGTTATCTAATGTGTATGTCAAGCACTTTTAAGAGCCAAAACACCTGCCTGCTAGTGATATTCTTACCGCTGATCATGAAATTGATTCAAATTCTGATCTTGTCCTTTGTGTGAGTCATTTACAGTTCTCCAGCACTCAATAGCATTAAAGAGCTATTATCAGAATAATTTTTATTGGTACAACACCAGAATCAATCTCTAGAATTGCTTCCTATATAGTGTGTCTGTACTTGATTTCAAATACCCATTACTGTAATTACCTGGAAATTACAATATTGCCAAGAAATCAGTACTTTGGACTTAAAGTATCTCAGTTAAGATGATTAAGGAATTAGAATTGCCCAGCTTTTGTCTGAGGCAAAGTTCTGATAGTGCTGAAGCTCCATTAAAAGCTGGTTGGCACGTTTAACACACTCCGAACAGTGAGTTTCGTGTGTTTACTAAAGATGTTTATTTTCCATAGTCATGTGGCTAAAATCTATCTTTGTTTTGCTTCAAAGAGTTTGCCAGGCTGGAAAAAGAGGTGCCCTTTAAAATGCATATTAGGGATGGCTGTTTCTCCTTGGGAAAGGCTGCAGCACACTTGACATACCTCACCTTAAGCTTTGTGCTCAAGCTGAAATGTGGCCAGTGCTGTAACAGTCAGGGATGGATGAGTCAGAATAGACGTCAGCAGAAAGGCACCTCCTACCAGCAGGGTGAAAATACTGAAATATAAGTGGAAGGTCAGGAAAAAAAATGCTTAAAAAATTAAAAAGCAAAATTCAGCTTCCTCAAAGAACTTGTGGACAAGGTGAAGGGTGCTGCTCTCTTCAGATATGGAACAGAAAGTTTGTAAGGCAGTGGCAGTGACTCTTCCCAGCTCTACGTGCTGGCCTCCATATTAAGATTTATTATTTAATATCTGTTACAGACTCTATTTAGAACAATAAATACCCCTTCTCCTCTTGGCTCTTCACTAACCTGGCCAGATGAGGCTCTCAATGACAGTTTGGCATGAATTTTGACCAGTGAACATTCCCTTGCTAAATAAAATCAATTGATGGTGTCTCTGTGCTGATCATGAAGTTTGTTCCTCAGATAATGATAAGTTTAGCATACAATCACTGTTTGCATCTCCTCCTGGGCTATTTTTAATTGGGAGTATTTTAATTAGCAGCCTTCCAGTACCTAGAAGGGCTCCAGGAGAGCTGGAAAGGAACTTGGGACAAGGACCCAGAGGGCCAGGACAAGGGGAAATGGCTTCCCACTGCCAGAAGGCATGGTTAGATTGGATATTGGGAAGAAGTTCTTCCTTATGAGGGTGGGGAGTCCCTGGCACAGGTTGACCTGAGAAACTGTGGCTGCCTCTGGATCCTTGTAAGTGTCTAAGGCCAGGCTGGATGGGGCTTGGAGCACCCTGGGCTAGTGGAAACAGTCCCTGCCCATGGCAGGGGGTAGAATGAGACGTTTTCTTTCAACCCAAACCATTCCAGAATTCCAGGATTCTATGATTGGTTCTATGAATGTCAGTCTCTTCTCTGTGCATTTTTAAACCCATTTTTTTGGCAAGTCTCTTCTGAAAGAAAATACCTCCTATATCACCCAGAACTGCTTAGAAATGCAATTTTTCTTGTCAGCAGAATTGGTGGTGGACTCTCACTGTGGTAAGCTTAGTAAGGGAACACATGGGAAAAATAGAATTTACATTTTAAAATATTGTGGAACTGATGAAAGCTTTTCTTCTGAGATTAATTTGTGAGTATGTAGTTGTTATTTTTCCCCAGAAGTTGTGCAATCCTGTGGCCAGACTATTACCTACTTTCTAGGCTGCTCTGTGTTCATGTGTTAAGGTTGGCTCCATGCTGTGTTCCACATATAGTTAGGATGGATCCTTGGATCTTTTGGAAAACAACCAAAGGGAAAAAAAGCATCTAGACCTCTGTACTGAGTCTTCTGTCTGGCCTGTTTATGCAACAGGGTCAATAAAAGCTAATTGAGATTGGCCTTTTGTTGCCCCACTTCTCCTGTTTTTCCGATGTGTCCCTCACCAAATGTAGGTTACGTTTATCTCCAGCTGTCAATGCTGGTTTGCCACTGCTGGCTCTAAATCAATAAAAATACACACTAGTATTTTCTGTGTCCCCATTCCCTGGGGTGTCATGGGCCTTGGAGAACCTGCCACATCAGAAACTATACTGGGAGCTGGTACAGAGCACAGGACATGCTCAGGGAATGAACAGCAACGTGGAGTAGATTAATTCTCTACCTAATACCATTAATAAAAAACTCCTTTGGACGATTGAAGTCCTATTTTCCCAAAATGCAGCACATTTTCCCTGTGTGCCATTAAACACCAGTCACCATTAAATTAATATCACGTTAATATAAGGATTTTACAATCACAGAATCACAGAATATCCTGGGTTGGAAGGGACCCACAAGAATCACACAGTTCAATATGTTTTAAAAATGACAGAATCATTGATTCCATTTAATAATGTCACAATGATTTTCAATCTTTTATTTCTTGATAAATTAGTATTTATTAGTGATAGATTAAACAACTTCCCAGTTGCTTTGCTTCCCTTAAGAGTCCCTGCTTAAAGGATATTAAGATACAAGGCTAGTGAGCAATGAGGGAACACATAGGTATCATAGCACTGTTATTTCCTACTAAATTGTCACTGGTTCCATGAGAAATTATTAACATGGATAGACCTTTCCTTGGAATGCTGTCTCTTATTACTGTTTAATGTTAAAAGTAGCAAACTGACTTAGAACTTTCTGAGCTCCAGTGATGGGCTTAAACCTTCATTTGACAAGATTATAGGCCTAGATTTGCAGTGAGGTTTGTTTGCCTTGCTTCTCTTCATTCTTGAAAGTGTCCCTGATAAGACATAGGTTGCCCACAGGTCCCAGTGTAAATGCTCATCTATACATTTCTCTCCCATAATCAATAGCAAAGCATTTGTATTTTGATTCCGTGCACTCCGTGTTTTCTGTGGTCTCTTAGGGGCTAAATCTCACTCGCTTTGATAGAACCTTTTTTTCCTCTTTAGTCCCCAGTATTTACTGTGAGCTAACAATGAAGAGATTTGGTGATTCTTTGATGCAAGCCCTGTGAAACTGAAGATGTGATCTTTGGGAAATATACAGTGCAAATTTTTGGTTAACTCTGCTGGCCTGAGTGTGCTAGGGCTGAGGAGGAACAAATACTGATGTTGTTCAGATGTTTATGTAGATGCTCATCTTACTCACAGAGGTTTTTCTCTGTAGCCCTCCTGCACTGAGGAGACAACCTGGGAATCCTTTGCAGGCCAACTGTCAGCAGTCAGACAATGGGTATCAGAGCTTCTGAAATGCTGTTGCTCAGTTGTGTTTGCTGACCTGGTAATGTATGAGAACCTTTTGTTTGCACCTACTTGAGCAACTAGAAATATTGGCCTTTTCCAGGCCTTTCACTCTTTTGGTTGTAAATAGAAATACAGTCAGGGTCATCTGCAAATTGCTTCCTTGTGCTGGGTCAGATTCCGTATCCAAACCAGTCAACTTAGCGTGAAAATCTGTGGAGTTTAATCTTAAATGTTGGATTGTTCTGTTTTTCATGTTTGTAGTATTATTTAAAGGAAGGAGAGGACAATGCAAAAGGCAAATGAAACAGCAAATGCTGTCTGGATCAAGCATTTGAATTCTTTCAGCTGCATTCTTTCCCCCAAACTTGTGAAGATTTGGATGTGTATATAGCTCTTTTTCTCTGTTCTTATATTCCAGGCATGGATGAAGCATAGGCAGGGAAGAATCCTAGCAGTAGCACCCACAGCTACCAAGTGTTTTGATGACATTGAGGCAAGCTTTCAGTTTCACTGGAACATAACTCTTGCAGCTGTGGAAGTATAGACAGCCTGCTTAAGAGAATTAACCTTTGCCTGTGTTTCCTGGGCAACACAGATAAGGAAAGGTATAGCTGCCATGCTTAGAAAATGAGTTTGTTGTATTCACGGGGAAAATTGCTCTAGCAAAATCTAAATGACTCTCAAGCAATAATTTTATTTTTTTTTATTCCAGTTTTCTTTTCAGACCCCACTGAAATCATTTACACAGAGAAGAATAAACATAGTGGAATAAATACACACATAGAAGAATAAAGAAGCCCAGGTGGGAAAGTTACTCTGAAGTAAGACAATTTACCAAGTGGACACCCCTAGCCATTCCTTAGGTAGTTTGATTCTGGCACAGATGAAGGTATTTACCATGTACAAGGACTGAGTCGTCATGGGAATTTAGATGCACTTAGAAGAACACCAGTTCTGTTGTTTGAATACATTCTTATTATAGATAGACAATTCAATGTCTGCCCAAAATATTTGTCTTTTGATAGGCTCACAGTATTTTATGATCAAACTAAAACAAACAATACTGAAGAGTGGGGGAAGAGGATTTTTTGTTGTTCCTTATTCCTCATCTCAATAATAAGGGTCTTGCTAAGGGTCCTACTTATTTTGTTTTTATACACATACACATATATGTATGTTATTTTATACAATTTTAAACTAATATATTTGTAAATCCTGGTCAGTAAGTAGAAGTAACAAAAGCTGTTAGAAATGTTGCTGTTTCAGTGGAGCTCCTGTAAACATTTCACCACTGGCAAGCACTTGCTGATACATACTTTAAGATAATTTCATTATTTTTGTTTGATTTAAACCTTTGGTTTGTTTTTAACCTTTCCTAGAGTATTTTTAGTAATTTTAATTACTGTTCCTAGACTAAAATCAGCTTCTGTCCCCATTTTCCTTAAATAAATTGTCTTTTCCAAAAGAGTATCATAAAATAGATGAAAAGCGCGTTCCAGTGCCTAAAGACTTAAGGAGAAGTAAAGGATTTGACAAGGAGATTGCTATAAAACTGCTTATCAATTTGTACTTTCTGATTACTCTCCCAACTCTCCCTTCATTTTCTATGAGATGCTCTGTGAGCCAATGCCCCAACTTTCTTCAGGTGAAACAGAAGTGTAGAATTCTCCTGGTTTGACTTCTATAGACTCTATTTATTGTCTGATTTCTTATAATAAAGTGGAAGATAAAGAAAACCTGGTGCTTCCTGTTGTCTGCTGTTGATTTCAGATTGTGTAACCCAACTGAGAAATGGCAATGCTCCATGATTTGGAAACTTCCAAGAAAAAAATTCAAACCTTTAGTGTGTCTGATGGACTAAGATGAGAGGATTTATTATATGTACTCTCTTCTTGGGCATTGCAGTTTGTGGCTAAGGGTCCCTGAAAAATCTTCTGCAGAAACATGGATGAAATGCTCCTGGTGCAATCTTTTACTCTCCTGTGTAGCTTTTTATGATAAAACAACTGTTTGAAGGTGAACTGGATTGTCTTATGTGTGTTATATTCATATGTCTGAATTTTTAAATATTGTATTTCTTGCATTCTTGCATTTTCCCTTGCCTTCCCTCTACTTTTTTTTTTTTTTCCTCCTGTTTTGGATGAGGCTTGCAGGATGATGTTTAGATCTCTTACATATTTTCCTTTGCATGTTTTTCTTTTCACATCATTACTTTTACAGAAAGTATTGGAAAGAGAGTTGGAAAAGGACTTTTCAGGAAAAGAGAAGGAAATGAAAAAGCAAGCAGACATTTTTATTATCTTTGAGGACAAGGAAATATTTAAATAGAAGATTTGCTAACATCTTATTTGATGCAAAACTTGGTGTTTTTCTCAATATCTGGAACCCTGCTTTTCTGTTGGAAAGCTTCCAGCTGAAGCAGCTAATTTTGTGATTTACATCTCCTATTTTATCTCCACTTTGGCTGCTGGACAGAGTTCCCATCCATGGGTGCTTCAGCATGATTTCCATCTCCTCAGCCACCAGTGACTTAGTGTGACAGACGTCAGTCCAGCAGAGCTCACTGGGGATTACTGGGAGTGACTGATCCCAGCCTTCCTTCTCCAGCAAGATTGACACTGTCTTTAGTGCTCTCCCTGACAAATTATCAGTCACCTTCAGATGACATGGATTGACTACCTCCTCAACCATAGCAGAGCAATGAGGCAAAGCTTTTATTCCTACATGTCACCTTTCCATGGATAAACGTAGGATTGGAGCCTTGCATGGTCACACTTGCCAAGTGTCTTTAGTAATGGATATGGATTTTAAACTGGAATAGTGGTGGGTGACAGCATGGCTTGGGGGTAGAGGAGGACTCTTGGGCTATTTTCCCTGCTTATTTATTTCCAATTAAATAAAAATCCCATCTGTAATGGGATTATGGTATTTGCTGAGAGTGCCTGTGGGCTTTTAAAGCATTGACTTTCTGACATCACTGAAAATGGGAATTGGGATGATGGCTTGCTGTGGTGCATGGAGATTATCTGAATAATTTGAGTCTTTAATGGGCAGAGTTTAGGATTGTTAGCTTTAGCTGGGATCTATGCTGGAAATGGGCAGAGTGCATAAAAAGGAATTGTTCCCTGTGAGGGTGGGGAGGCCACAGGGTGCCCAGAGAAGCTGCCCCTGGATCCCTGGAAGTGTCCAAGGCCAGGCTGGACAGGGTTTGGAGCAACCTGGGCTAGTGGAAGGTGTCCCTGCCCATGGCAGAGGGTGGAATGAGATTATCTTTAAGGTCCCTGCCAACCTAAACCATTCTATTATCCTGTGTATAGGAAGGAAGAGAGAAAGAGGAAGAAAGTGAAAGAAATGAG